GGGTTAAGTTTTCCGTGGCCCTAATTTCATGAGATGACTACTAGACTTGTATTCTGTTGCTTCCATTTAATTGCTGTTCTTCTACTTTTCCTAAGGGATCTCTGAGTTTAAGATGCTTAATGGTGTAAAAAATGTCATGGCTTAAAAACAGAATAAATTATTAATATATTCAGGGTCAAATAAATGCAGAGATTTTCAATATCATCCACCTTCTTGCCACTCAGTTTGCTTCTTGGGGATGGAAATGCTTTTCTAATGTATAATTCTACGTGCTGGTTTTTGTGCATTAAATTTTAATATAAGTTTCTAGGAAAGTGTTTTGGATGGAAGTGGGAGTCTATTTGTATTTAGTAAGGCCAAGGCTATATCCCATTTTATTCATTTGTAAAAATTCAGCTCTATAAAATGTAGCAAGTATCATAGAAAACCTGCAGCTCAAAAGATATGCAAACCTGGACCAGAATAAGACCAAGTAATTAATAAATATATGAGACCTGATGCCCTAAGGTTAGGCTATATTCTCCTCTTATTTTTTTTGCAAAACTCCAGATAATAAAATCAACTATCGCTAAAAGAAAATTGCAGTGTTGCATATGTGGGAAGACAGATTGCCCCAAGGGGGAAACATTCCTGATTCATTTCAGGAAGAAACATGATTTGTTTGACTTAATTCCAAAGAGGACAGTGCTTAATCCAAGAAACACAACAAGGAGACTGTCAAATCAGTGGCTTGCAGAACAGAAGCGACTTGTAAAATGTCATTTCAGGAAGTGTGTGGAGCTGAAAACCATGGGTGGCTTGGGTGTCCGACCCACCGGAGGGGTTTTCAAGAGCATCTCTGTCATGTATTATATTTCTCCCACTGTAAGATTCATTTCCATTTCCCGAGGAATTCATTCTAAACTGGTGTGTGCTACCCAACTGATGTCCATACTTACTATGCGGTGTTTCCTTCCTTCTGAAATGCTCTGATAGTTTCTTGGAACCGAGACTATGCAGAAGGAGCTTCATAACCAAGCGGGTTGGTAGTAGAAACACTCTAAATCTCAGGCTCCTCAACAGAGACTACAAACTCCCTTGTTCAGTTACTCATGCTTTGGCTTTTGAGTGTTGGTGAGTGTTGGCATCTGCAGGTAGTATATATAACTGACCGAAAGTCCATGGAAAGCTGAGCACTTCGCTTAGCACTGGACAAACAACTTCTCTAGTCCTCTGACAATCTACTCCTCTGACAGGATCCACCATCCATCAGCCTTTTGGTCCAAGTCTAGGAAGTCAGACATTAGCAAACACCAACAGCCACTTCTGACGGTCACTGTTTAGCTCAATTTTTGCCTAAGAGCTTTCCATTTTTGAACAGGCTTTTGCCGTTTAGAGTCGTTTTGCCCACTGCTGTAGTTTGAATCTAGAGTGTTTCTCAAAGGCCCATGTGTGGAAGCCTTGTTTCCCAGCATGGTGTTCCTTGGAGGTCGTAGACATTTCCAGGATTGGGAGGTCTCCTGGTTGCTGGGGGTTGGCCCTTGTCTTTTCTGTATTTTGCCTCCCCAACATGAGGTGGCAGTGTTGCTTCACCACATGCTTCCTACCGTGGTTCCCATAGCCCAAAGCAGGGAAATCACCTGGTCATGGATTGAATCCCATAAGAGCATGGGTTAAAATAAGCCCTTTATTTTTCTGAATTGATTATCTCGGGTATTTATTGTACTGAAAAAAGCTAACAAATACACCTTTTGATCCTTACACAACCTCATAAGTTAAGTAGAGGCAATATTATCTAATTTATTACTGAAGTGAGAACATTAATCCTTCAAACAGGCTAGATGAATGGACCAGTATACACACTAATTAGTGACAGGCAGGACTACCTACTCAGATGTGCACGATTCCCAGCGCATCACTGCCATTAGTATGGTTTTGTTTTCTGAGACAGAGTTTTGCTATGCAGTCCTTGCTGCCTTTGGACTCACTATGAGGTTCAGGCTGGACTCAATTTATGACAGTCCTGCTCCAGCAGCTCCAGCCTACAGATAACAGCTATGCACCACCATACACAACTTGCCTCTAGGACTTAATTCTGTAGAGATATGCTTTCCCTAGCCCACATGTGTGACAAACTTAGGACTTGAACCTTGACTTTATTTCAGCCAGATTAATGCAGGGAGAGAGGAAGGAAGAGCCATTCTGGTAAGCTATCTCTAGACAATGGGAAGATTGAAACCTAAATATGCAACTGTGTTTCCTGTCAAACATACGACAAATTCGTACAAGAGGGGTAGCAGGCTTGATCATGAGAAGGGTGCCGGTAGAGGCATAAGTCAGTAATGCCACATCAATCTGGACAGTAATCACGTGGTGGGGAAATCCCCAGAGAGTAATGGTGTGATACCTGTGGCCTCGGGAAGACTGCAATATAGCCTGAAGTCTAAGGAATTTGAGTGTCTCTGTATTTGGGTAGGGATTTGTAGACTAATACAGAAGGATTGAGGTAAAGTTGAATTTTTAATTCTGAGAAAGTCTCTGAAAAAATCCAACTGTCAACTGGGAAAATCTAAACTCTCTGGTGAATAGAGGAGGGAGGATTCTGGCCAAATCCCAGATATGAGCTCCCAAATCTCTCATTTGGGACATTCCAATGGTAAGAATTCCTCAGGCTTGACTTGACCCTTTTGAGTTACAAGCCATTTCACTCATCTGTCCTTTCTGTGTCATATAATTTCCATGGAAATGATTATTCTCAGTGATAGGTGGATGGAATTCTGGGACATGGGCAACACATGGCAAAGTCTGAGAAATGAGACATTTCATTAGATATTTTTGGATATGGAAGATAATTCATTGGTAAGTAGTCTGTCTTTTTATACTGAGTCTGTTATTAGTTAGAAGGGGGAAAAAAGCAAGGTAATGTGAATTTATCCTTAAAAAAACATATAGTACGAACACAGAGACAGGGATGTGATTTTCTCAAGGAGCTAGCCCTACTCTCCTTTCTTTCCTAAGTTCAGAATCTTCCTTTGGGGGAAGGGTCACAAGGTACACTAATGACATTTTACGCCCCCATCTGAAGGTAAGTCTGTCTGATGGGTAAGTCTGTCCAGTGGAACACTATGGCCTTCTTTTGGGACATGAGTTGTCTACCAGACGAAGGAACTTACTTCTAGACTTTAGAGGGTCTTGAGCCTCTGCAGACTTTCTAGGTAGCTCTTTTTTCCCCCAAGTCTTAGAGTCATGGGGATCTGGTTTACTGGAGAGAGGACAGGGATCTATGGAAGCCTAGAGTTGAGCATTTATGGAACAAGGAAGGGGTATCCAGAGCTCATACCTGCTTTTGCTATCTGTTTGGCCCTCAATTCTGCCACTGACTGTTCTGTCTTCCAAGAACTGACTCAACTCCAGTCCAGGATGATGGGCAGATGGCCTGACTGTGTACCTTCAAAGCACCTGGATTAGCCTGAAGACTTGACTCACCCCTTTCACAAGGGACCTTGCAGAACAAACAGTGAATTGAGTAACTGCAGATTAGTAATGGTTGTAAAACACATGTGAATATGGGAAATATACTTTTCTATGGTTTTGTTTTGAGACAGGGTTTCATGTAGCACATAAACTGACCTACAGTTTATGCTATAGCTCAGGATGACTCTTAATTCACGATTTGCTTCCCTTGGATCTACATGTGATGAGATTATAGATATGTAGCTTGTGTCTAGCCTTGGGATATTCTTTTTAATGGCCAGATCATTCATTAGACCACTACCACTAGTATTATTATTTTGTATTATTTACTGTGTGTATTTGTGTGCATGTGCGAAGACTAGAAGAAGGCATCAGCTCCCCTGGAGCTGGAGCTACAGATAGCTGTGATCCACCCCATGTGGGTATCAGGACATAGACTTAATTCCCCTGTAAGAACAGAAAGCACTCTTAACTGCTAAACTATCCCTCTAGCCCCAAATTATTTTTAATGCTTTCTTTTCATTTTAGGCAAATGAAGCTGTTTTGTGAAGAGCCACTGAGCCATGACTTAATTATATATGTGACAAGGGGTAATTTTACATTGTGCAATTACAATTTTCATACAATACAAAATTAAAATAATTGAGAAATATTGTACTGCATGTTGGCCAAAGCAACTAAGTTTGAAAACTTAACATTTTGCTCCAGCTTATCTCATGAGAGTAAGGACACACAGGTAAAAAATTGTGTGTTAATACAAGTCTGACTTGTAGGTATTGTGTAACTTAGAGTAAGCTGATGGCCAATGTAGCATCTGTGCTCTTTTTTTTTTTTTTATTTTGCAATACAATTCAGTTCTACATATCAGCCACGGATTCCCTTGTTCTCCCCCCTCCCGTCCCCCTCACCTTCTCCCCAGCCCCCCCCCCCCCATTCCCATCTCCTCCAGGGCAAAGCCTCCTCCGAGGACTGAGATCAACCTGGTAGACTCAGTCCAGGCAGGTCCAGTCCCCTCCTCCCAGGCCGAGCCAAGCAATCCTGCATAGGCCCCAGGTTTCAAACAGCCAACTCATGCAATGAGCACAGGACCCGGTCCCACTGCCTGGATGCCTCCCAAACAGATCAAGCCAATCAACTGTCTCACCCATTCAGAGGGCCTGATCCAGTTGGGGGACCCCTCAGCCATTGGTTCATAGTTCATGTGTTTCCATTCATTTGGCCTACTCTGGTGATGGGATGGCCAAACACCCTAATTGATGTGCTAGAAACCTCATCCAACTACTGAGGGATCTGGATGCAGAGATCCATGACTAGGCCCTGGGTGGATCTCTGGGAGTCCAATTAGCGAGAATGAGGAGGGTTTATATGAGCGAGAATTGTTGAGACCAAGGTTGGATAAAGCACAGGGACAAATAGCCAAACGAATGGAAACACATCTGTGCTCTTTAAAAGAGGCAAAAGGGAGGGAGGGAAGAGAGCAGCCCCCTCTTAGCAAGTGCTTACACAAGACCCAGCCCTTTCCCTGAAGACACAGCCTCAAAGATTACCTTGCTCCAGTTTCCCACTCGCCAGCCGGCGCAGGGGCGGAGGTGGCACTTCTTAGCAGGGTCTGGCCTCTGAACGGCTGCACAGTCAGCGTCCATGCCGGTGCTACAGTCCACACTCCTCCAGTAGGCCCCCAGCCCACATGTGGTGGAGCACTGCAGCGGGAAGGGAGGAAGAGGAGAGAGACAGAAAGCTTTTTCTCAGGTGTACTCATCACGGCGATCCTGGAGCCAAAGGTCTCCTGTCCCAGATGCTAAGGCTATCTCGGATAGGAATACACACACAGAATGTCTGGCTGAGTGCTTTAAAGTGAACAGCTCTAATAGACAGCTGCAGTTAGGGAGCACCCAGCTGTACATAAAAGGAAAGATGTTGCAAATGGAAATGTGCTTTTCCTTGATAAGTACACTGATACAAGTGCCTGGGCCACAGGCACATAGCTATATTTCATATCACTCCAGTTCAGAATGGATGTCAGATGTCAGCATACGCCTCACACCTCATATCTAACGTGGCAGTGACTTTTACCCACTTTCTTTCAATGATGCCAATTAGTATTATTATAGGGTAGACAAAGACACCGAGGCTTCATGCTGGCTTGTCCGTGGAGGAAGATGGAGTATTCTTCCTCCAGACCTTATGTTGTACATTCTGGTAGTGCCTCTCAAACTCTAGCGTCTCTAGGTAACAACCAGGAACCCTAGTGAATGCAGATTCTCATCAGTGTCCTCACCAGCACTGGGATTCTGCATTTTTACCAAGTTCCCAGATGATGCTGATGCTGTTGCCCCTGAGACCACAGCTGGAGTTGGGAAGAAGTGACAAAATGCTGCCCTTCACCTCTTGCTCCACTGGCAGAGAACAGGCAGTCACCTTTTCCATAGGTAGAGTTCATTTGTCTCAAGCTGTTCCCACTCGTTTATAGTTACTCAGTTTCACAAGTTTAACTTGCCTTCACCTTGAAGATTACACAGGTTCTCTCCTTTGGTCTCTCTCTCTCTCTCTCTTTTTTTTTCATCCTCTTTCCTGCTTACCCTTAGGAAGGGATTGTTTCTGAATACATAAAACACAGCTCTGAGCTTATTTAAAAGAAAGTTTCTTTTGATAAATTATATAAATAAGAGCAGCCTTATGTTTCCTTGGCCACACATTTGCCCTCCATACAATCTGGTTCTTCATCTGGTGCAAATTTTGGTTATTGTAAAGTGTGTGTGTGTGTGTGTGTGTGTGTGTGTGTGTGTGTGTGTGTGTGTGTGTGTTGTGTACAGTCACATGTATAATATCTTAGGTAAATTGTAGAATCACAGAAAGGGAAAAGTAGAAAACACTAAATGTCGTAATTTTATTTCAATTTTCATTTATAGAGGAAATTTCTCCTCATCCCTAAAATTCTTTAGGACTTGATCTGTATCGTTCCTGTTTCCCTTTGAACATCGTTATACATCTTTATAGTAGAGACAATGGCAGCTAATGTGCAATTACCATCATCTCATGGATTGAGCCCGCTAATGTTCTCCATCATCCACACTCACACTCTCTTCGTTTCTCTCATCAAAAGATGCTATTGGTTTTCTTAGCCACTAAATGAAGGCTGCTCTTGTGACTCCTTCTGGCTAATAGGGTATGGAGGCTAATGCTACTCTAGTTACTGTGCTTTGCTTCCCTCTTTTGCTGTGGACTCTGCTTTTGCCATGAGCATATGCCTGGGCAACACATTAGAGGATGAGAGCTAACAGGAAACAGAATTAGATGACTCAGCTACCCCAGGCCAGCTTTCAACTGACCTCCAGCAGGGACTTGAGAGGACAAGCTGAAGTTGAAAGAACCTCCTGGAGAGGGTATAACTACGTGGTGATTAATCACAGTTGGGCTGTTTGCCAGCTGGGTGAGCCTTTGCGGATTCTGAGCCTCCCCAAGCCTGAAAAACTGGTGACAACAGGAGGGTCCCCCTCATGCTGGCCTGCTGTGGGTACTGAAGATGACTCATGCATACCACCTTGCACAAGGTCACACAGACAGTATGGGGTGTTATTAACTTAATATTGTGACATAGAGGGGGAAATAGAACATTTAGGCAAGCTTAGGAAAGTTGCTAATGAGACCACATTGCCAGGCTAGTAATGATCCCATGAAATCTCAAGACAGAGCCATAGTTCCTTGGGCCATGTTTATGCTACAAGTCATAAATATTATTTCTGGAGCTTGGAGTTTGGTCCTCCTCCCCAGAATTGATTTAATTCTCTTTGACAGTTTCTATTTAGGCATCCTGCTACAGTCCCAAAGTGAAGCCGACAAGAGGAGATCACAGACTGTAGACAAAGCAAAACAAAAACCGCATTCTGTAGAGTCGAGCTTTCCTTACGTAGAATTACTTTCCTATTGGAAGTAGGAGATGAGAGAAAACAAGAGGACTTTGAGGAAGTGGAGGGGGGACTCCATTCTGTCCTGTGACCCCTGAAGCAATTGACCCATCAGGTTAGGGAACAAGTGTGGGGTGACGGAACTGTAAATAGATACTGAGGGTCGGGTCAGCAACATCTGAAAAAAATATGGAAAAGATGTGGAGAATTATGCTGTCACTTTCATACTCTGACTACACAAGCCTACCTTTAACTGACTAGCCAAGGGATCTGATCGAAAGAAGCAGCAGTTCAATGAGATGAAGGATTCTGTCAAAATAAGAGCCACAGCAGTACACAGTATACAACACTTCATGTTTCTGTTATATAAGTAATGATGGAAAATACCCCTGTTCCTTGCTATGTGCCTGATATTCTTCTGTCGCTCATAGATATTTCTTTTACCTCTACTAACCTTAGGAGTCAAATATGATGATCACCTCCTTAGAGAGGAGGAAACTGAGGGAGTGACAGGATGCATTTATTCAGGGTTCAAGTCCAGCAAGTGCATTTTCAAACTGCATGCCTTTTTATAGGGTCAACTTCGTTTTTTGCACCATTTATTAATTCTGAAACCTCAGTTAGCAAAAGAGATGTGTTATGTACAGTGAGGGCCTTGGGCAATCTTTTAATGAAAGAGAGAAGCTGAGGGCATAGCCTAAGAGAGACCAGATCAAACCCTAATAAACATTAGAAATGGATTCTGGCTTAGGGCTCAGAAAAGCTTTATGGGAGAGGAGGTTTAAAATGACCCCAAGGAGCATGGAGGATGTGAGGGCAGAGTGGCGGGGGAGGTGGGGGGTGGGGGGGGGTGGTAAGAGATCCCAGGCAGAAGGAACAGCATGGATGAGAGTACTGGGCAGGGACAGGCAGGCAGAGAATAAAGGAGATTGGGTGCTTTAGAGCTTTGAGATGCAAATTGGATGCAGAAAAGCAGTAAGACTAGAAAGTCACTTATGCAACACCAATTTGATGTTTGATTAGATGGTTTCTTTCTTTTTATTTTTCCCCTTTTATTATTGGCAGAGTGCATTTCATCTGCTCTGTATGTATTAAAAAGATCGGTATTTGTAAGAAGGACGTTGGAGTGGTTTGAACAGCCCTCTTATATCTCTTGCAGCAATGTGGAAAAGATTGGAAAAGGGAAAGAACAGAGGCCTACAGACCAGCAGTGAGGCAAAGGCAGGTGTCCTGGGCAAGGCTGTGCACAGAAGGTCCTGCATTCTTAACTGCGGAGGTACCACTGGTACTTTGGGCTGGGGGATCCTTCCTTTTAAAGGACTTGCCTGAATACTGAATTCCTGAATAGGGATTTTTATGATTATTGGCTCTCAGATATTAAGTGTGATCATTACTAAATAACAAACAAAAACAGCCCCATTAACTTTCAAATCCCTCCTACCTAAAGACTAGGAACTACCAGGTCTTCAACAGGCAGGAAACAAAAAGCAGATGACAGAATTGATGAGTTCATCTGACTTCAAACACTATTACAGCTTGTTTTAGTGGGGGAGAGGCAAATTAGTATCAGTGGTAATCCCTAGGTTTCTGAGACATTATAATCGAGAGATGATTGATCTGTACTGAGAGACCATCAAAAAAAAAAAAAAAAAACCAGCATCAAAAGTGAGTAGATGTAAGAATCAGGAACCATGGGATACTCAAAATCCAAAGCTTCCATTCTGAACTTTGACTTTCTCTGATAAATAAATATATGAAATATTTTATTTAAAAAACACATAAGAAGAGTAGTCCCTAAGTCCTGCCACATAAGGGATCACTGCTAAGTAGAGAACTCTAATTTTCATTTATGTTCTTGTTGCTCTAAAAAGCTACTATGATCCAGTTCCTTTTCTGTAGCCCAACTGCTTAGAATCAGCAGCTCAACCTATGAGTGAATTATGATAAATTCAATATGACAATTATTTTTGTCAAAGCCCAGTGACGACATTTGAGTCTAAATGAATTGTACCTTGATTTACTATAATCAAAATGTTTTAACCTCTAGGATCAGAAGTCATTATAGTTTATGTTTACTCCATTATGTTTTAGTTTTCTTGGATATAGTAACTTCTCATTGAATTAATTAACATTTGTCAACTGAATAGCGTCTATTGACATCTAATATCGTTATGACAAATAACCACAACACATTTAAATTCAGCAATTACACAGCTGTTCTCGAAGCTGAGGATTGGTCATCCTGAGATAAATACTTGTTTTTAGTATTTCTTTACTTATTCACATGTTGTCATTATACAGCCCAGGATGACCTGGAATTTGCTATGTAGCCCAAGAGGGCTTTGAACTCATAGCCTTCCTGCCTCTGTCTCATGAGTGCTAGAATCACAGGCACCTTTGTTTCTTTGTTTTTTAAGACAGGGTTTCTCTGTGTAGCCCCAGCTGTCCTGGAACCCACTTTGTAGACTAGGCTGGCCTCAGAGATCCACCTGCCTCTGCCTCCTTTGTGCTAGGATTAAAGGCATGTGCCACCACCGCTGGGCCACAGGTGCCTTTTAAATAAAACTTCCATATTACCTTCTGGGCTGAGGAGGGCTGTCAATCACTACTAATAATCCTAGTGTATGGCTCTCCCCAGTTACTAGGCTAGCCTCCTAAGCCATTCTCCCTTTACACTGCAGCTTCCATCTAAGTACTAAGCCTGTCCTCCCCAAAGTCATCAGTGACCTGCCAATGATCAAGTGTAAAAGGTCTACAGTTGACACACTCCTAATTATAAACAGTGCCATATTTCTTCTCGTAAGTCTTACATGTCAGATTACTCCTTACCAGACTTCCCCAATGGGATCTCTTTCTTAGCCACCTCTTTAAAACATGAGTGCTCTCTAAGTTTCACTCCTGGGTCACAGGCCTTTGCAGTGTACAGGTAGTTTTGGGGTAACCTCACTCATTTTCAAGGCTCTAACTACCACCCATTGATCATGGCTGCCAAGTACTCTCCTTAGTTATTACCTTCTTCAAGAACCCCAGACCCATACACACAAAAGCACATTAGTTATACCTAGACATCTCAGAAAGCACCTTTAATTAAACTTCATCAGTTCAGGCCACACCCAATGACTGCTTTGGCACAGGAAGATAGCACCCTCTTGCTCTTTAGAGGTATGACATGATTTTAGGAAGATACATTTTGAGAATGCTATTTGAAAATAAATCATCCTAAGAAACCCTGAGAAAATTAAATTTATTTTAAGATTTCTACACCAAATCAATGGTGGTGATATCTTAGGGGCCATTTGTTTTTGTGGCTCTAAAAGTAGCTAGAAGTTGCCCTCTGTTATTAAAAAATCCTTTCTTGTAGAATACATTATCATCTCATTTGTCAACTTAGGGTAATCACATAACTGACATTGTTTTTATATATAATATGAGTAAGGAAACAGCAAATAAAACCAAAGCCCAGAGGACGGTAATGTTTTCTGATTTGCAAAGGAAGGGATTGCGGGTTCTCAGCTGTCCATCTGAGTTCAAATCCCTGCTCCTTCACTTGGTGGGTGTAATTTTAGTTACTTAACCTCTCTCCGCCTCACCTCTAGTGTGTCATTAACCATCTTGGGCTGCAGTAAGTATTGTAGTAGATAACTCATGCTAATTAGCTTAAAATCCTATTTCTAACACACCTTCACATGTTGTTAAGCTCACATCATCAGCTCTTGTCCTTACACCCCTTCAGAATTTATCAGATAGGAATATGACTAAAAAAGCTTGGCTTAGGAGACACATTTATACACTTCAATATATCAGATTACTGTGATTATAAACATCTTTTTATCTCTGAAGCTGGACTTTTGCAAATAGAGATAAGATGTTGATTCACCAATGAAAAATGTAATAACTCACTTTAGAAACAGAACATACAGATAGTTCAAATGCAAATAAGTACAGATTTGGTACAGAAACTTTTGGAGTTTTGAATTTACCCATATGTTGCTGGTAAAGTCAGTACCATGATCCAATGAGGCTGGTAATTTACACCAAAGAATGCTATACCCTTAATTTGTAAGTTGGTGCCAGAATTCCGAATAGAGACAGGGTTATGGTGAAAAAAGAAAGTTCATCATCACATTGAAAAGTGAGTTTTAGGACAGTCACTCAGCCATTAGCATTTTATGTTTCCTACTTGTAAAATCAGCATATATGGGACAGACATCATCCATTCTCTAGGACAGCCAATGTGAAAATAATAAGAGACCAGATGTGAGAAGGTTCTGGAAGTCAGCATACCTTGTAAATTGCTCTAACTGTGTTTTTGTTCTTATATTCACAGCTATTATATACTATATGCTATTCTTAATTAACTGCTGTAGATTAGCTCACTTTAGAAAAGAAGACATAAATTGTAAAAAAAACCTTAATTATTTGAATTTGTGGCTACATTATTTTATAAGTTCATATACTAAACTTTTATTGAATTTCAAATTTAAAATAGGTCAGAAATTATTTTGGTGCCTCAAAAGGATGTCACTAGTTGCAGAAATAAAAAGAAAGAAACAAACAAACAAATATCTGGTCAAATTTCTAAAGCCTGAAAGTAGGGGCCAAAATTTTATTATAATGCTTAGTTCTTCTTAGATATTACAATTCTTTCAGTGAACCATAGTGATTTTTTTAATGAGGCCACTCAAAGAAAAATAATTAGATAATAAAAGTGGGTGCCTAGCTCTGTAATAATCAGGTAATGTTTGTGATATGTAATATATATTAATAAAGCATTTTAAGTGTATCATAGGTAGAAAGGGGGCCCTTTGGTAGGTATTTCCTCTCTATCTTGTTTTGACCACACAAGTAAAAGATACTAAGTATTCATATAAAAATCAAAGGACATATATCCCTTGATAATAGGATAGAATATGTATACTTGGATATAAAATTTGACATAGTAAGTGATATAATTCTTTTTGAGATTTTTGTCTCAGATTTCCATTCTAATCATGATTACTTCCCAAGTTTAACTGAAGTCTGAGCATCAGCTTTCTGAATGGAATGGGAGGACAGGTCCTTATAGCTGTCCTCATCCTAGGACCTTTGGAGTACACAGCTTAAAGGGACACCAGAGATGCGCCACCCTAGACATATCAGCCTATATCTTAAGCACCAGGTACAGAAAGATGACTAAATTCTCCATGCTCACACACTAACTGGATTCTCCATGCTCACACACTGACTGACTCAGGTCTCCTGATAGAGACTTCTCACTGTGTCTCATTGTATGTCTTCTCTTTCGTATTTATGGATAATGTATAAATATATACTTGTATGTATGCATTGTTTTATAAATAATATATTTATTCTTCTCCTTCCCATTTGGGGAGTTGGCGTAGAGATGGTTGTAATTGTCATTTTTTTTCTTTCCCTCCCTCCCTCCCTCCCTCCCTCCCTCCCTCCCTCCCTCTTTCCCTCCCTCCCTCCCTCTTTCCCTCCCTCCCTCCCTCTTTCCCTCCCTCCCTCCCTCCCTCCCTCCCTCCCTCTTTCCCTCCCTCCCTCCCTCCCTCCCTCCTCCTCCATTCTTTCCCTTCCTCTTCTTTCTTTCTTTCTCTTATATTTCATCAGAATCTTATGTAACCAAACTGGCTTCCAAATCTGCTCTATAGCCCAGGCTGGCATTCAACTCACAATCCACCCACCTCAGTCTCTCAAGGGCTAGGATTATAAATGCGTGACTCCATGCCCAATTAGACAACATTTTAATGTAAATTCATTTCAGAATTTTCACAATATACCATTGCTAGATATTTTCCATATAGAATGAGGTCTGGGATAGGAAACTGAAAATCTTACTTTACTCCAGTTTCCAACAATCCAGTGTGCAGGGCTGGGGTCCTTCATAAGCTGCTTGTAATTGGAAGCATTTAGCAGAAATCCCTCAGCAATCAGACTTGATGCATCTTCCTCCGTCAGGACAGGCCCAGAGCCTTGGGTTGGATTTGTATCGTTTGGCAATGCCAAGTGGTCATGGTTTTCTAACTTTTCTGAGGGCGTTGGCTGATGGCCTCCTCCAGGCGGGAGTGGAATGTTCCTTGGTTTTTCAGTGATCATCCCCTCAGCTCTGGGTGTCTCGTTTTTAAGGGACCAGTCAGGTAGTGAGCCTTTCATCATTGCACTGAAGGGAGGCCATGAAGTCTCTTCCCCGACGTAAGATGTTGGTGGAGGTCCGAGTGGTATTTCTGCATTCCTCTCCATGGAAGACGCGTGCTCAGGTGCCCTGCTCTTGTTCCATATCACAGAGTTGTTTTCATCCTTGTTCATAGGCTGGTCACTGCCTTCTCCTGAGCCACTGTGTATCTCCACTTCCGGATCCGTGGTCAAGGGGTCATAAAATGGGGTTACTTGCCAAGTCACAGCATTGCTAGATGATAAGCCGGAATCACTTGTTGTTGCCCAAAAGTCAGCCTCTGAAGTAGGACCTATAGCCGAACTAGAAACATTTTCATCATCGGGCTGGATACTTACAGACCAGGAAGTGAAGGGGGCCTGGGAAGTGCTTCCAGAGGAAGTAAGGTAGTGGGAGTCCTCTTTAGTTTGGGTTGAAGTATGCTGCCATCCTATCCCATCTTCGGGTGCCATAGTGGGGCCAAGGTTGTTGATTGCTGTGGTGCTTGTGCTCATAGACCCAGGCACTGTGGGCGTGGACAGCGGCATGGGCCTGGATGTGGGTGCAGGGATGGGCTTGAAGGGGTCATACTCTGATGTTGGTTGGTTTTTCCCACTGGGAGCTATGTCTTTATTGGGTTTCAGAACTCTGCGGCTAGATGGGCACTGCTGGAGGCCACACAGAGCTCGGCTGTTGGGTTTCCGTGCCTTGTCACAAGGTTCATTGTGGTTCTTGGCACAGGTGACACTGCGAATCCGCACTCCACCACCGCAGGAAACCGAGCACTGGAAAAGAGAGACAAGTGTTAGTTTAGTGGGAAAAGATGCCTCTTCTCATGGTCATGCCTAGGGGTGATGAATTGTGCAGCTAATGTTCTATCTCCATTTGGTTTCTGTGCTTTTAGTTTTACATTGTCTCTTGGAGACCAGCCAGGGCCCAGGACCAGCCTGAACCAAAACCGTGATACCGTCAAACTGAAGGCTCTTTGGGTCTTGAAAACTGGGCACGACCATGTACAAGGAGAGCAATGAGTTAAATCACTCACGGGATCTCTTTAGGAGCGGTGAAGACTATTGCCTCGTTCTTAGGGCTACAATGCAATTAAATTAATACAAAATGTTCTCAGATGCTTGGGATTGCACTAAACTCGTTATATCAAAGTGTTTATATTTAGAAAACAATGATTAGAATTCATGGATTTTCTCCCAGGTGTCAAGGTCATTTATCTATGGCAGGTAGAATTACATTAAAAGCTAGATAATCACCACACTCAAATACACTTATGTTCTAAGTTTTTTTTTTCTTCTGAGTTTGAAAAATGAGAAGCTAATCAAAGGTGGAAAATATCCTTTCTCAAAGAATTTGGTTCTTCCATCAGTGTGACATTAATATGCACACTGAGAAAGTGGTGTATCTCCCATCCCAATCTCATTTTACATTCTGGAAGGTTTGCTGAAGGACAGGCATCTAGATTGCCTTTGTGGGGGGCAATTTGGACATGGCACTCCATCCTCACAGTTTAGGGGAAAACTGGCTTCATCCAGCTGTATCACTGTTAATCATACATAGTTGCTATGTAACATAGGAAAATCAGTTATTTTGAAAGGTCTATACTTTCACCAAACTGCTCCATTTTTACTTTGCCTAATGACATGTTAATTCAACCACCAAGTAGCTAGTGTTGTAACATGGACCATTCAGGTTCCTTTGCTGCCCATTTTACACTGATTTATATTCTCTGTCTGCTATCCTTGAAGTCAAAGCAGGTTTCTTCAGGGTATGCCTGCATAATTCTCCATGGATTTCACAGAGCCTCATAGCCATTATTCTGTGTGATATTAGCAACATCTCTGCAAGATTTACAAAGCAAGGGTGGTTATTCCTCCCTCTGCAAGTGAGGAGCCAAAGGCTCCATAACCTACATGAAAGGCTGCAGGTCAGCCAATGTAAAAAGTCAGCTTTATTTAGCATGCTCTCTTCTCCACCAAAGCCCAGGGCAACACAGATCCATAGACTTTGCTTAGTGAACTGCCCAGTGCTTTTGATGTTAGAAGAGTAACCCAAAGGCTGGGGTGTTTTTAATTCATAATTACATGTCATGATAATTCTTAAGATATTTGATCACTGTACATATTTGCTAAGTACTTGTTTTATTTGGTGGAAAAAAAAACCAGGGATGGGGAAATGGTTACCTATAAGCTTATACATTTTTTACACTTAAGTTTCTTGCTTCCTCAAGTCCTAATGGTGTAAAAATCTGCTCCTTTATTTTGTTTCAGTCAAGCACAATCACTCAAGATGCAAAATAGCTCTGGGGAAATGGCCCATTTGAAAGCAAGAAGCACCGTTGAATGCAGAAGGCAGAAAGCAGAGTCAAGGCAGTACCAAGTACAGACTGGGCTCAGGGTGTTGTTAATAAAGGACTCAAATGCCCAGTCCTGGGGCTGGTTGGTAGTTACAGTGGGAATCTATGGTGGGAACTGTGTTTTACACACCAGGCAACACATACTATTTCCCACCAACAATGAGGCTGTCACTTAGGAAATATTATCTTCTGCTGCTTCTGTGGCTCCTTTTAAAATGCACTGGGAGCCTAAAAAGAGCAAGCTGGAGGTATTTTGTTTTGTTTTGTTTTGTCCCAGATTCCTGTCATTTTTGAATATGAAGACACTCCATGGCCCATTTAATTTATCCATCTCTCATTACCTTGGATTTTCAAACTTTCACATTGTAAAAATTTATAAATGCAACCAAGTAAGTTTCATTTTGTGCCTGCATACATTTCCTCACAGTCTGGCTTTCCTTTCAGCATGGATTCACAAACAAAGCTAACACCAAATGGTCTCAAGAGCATATAGCTCCTCTTGCAACTTTTCTCTCCAAAAAGCATCAGAATATATACCAACATAAGGGAATTCTTCTATGTCTTCCCCCAGCCTTCAGGGTTGTTTTGGCTTGTAGGAGTTCTAATGTCTGTGGGGATGTGAAAGTGCACAATACACTTCAATTTCTTTTAATCAAAAAACTTTGAAGTATATGCTCTCTGTCTTCACCACATTGAATTGTGGAAAAAAGAAATAACTGCAAAAAAAATTGTCACCTAGAAGCTTATGCATTCCTCAAGTCCTATTGGTGTAAAAATCTCCTTTACTTTGTTTCCATCAAGCACAATCACATGCATTTTTGGTCTGTTCCATCTTAAAACATCAAAATCAATATGTAAAAAACGGAATAGTGGTGGACAGTTTAAAAGCTAGACATTTCCCATAAGTAAGATCCCAATTTTTGACTCTGCTTGAAAAGTCAGATAATCATCACCCATTAGTTTCATTCTCAATGAGCTCAAAGCTTCAGTCATGGAAACCCACGCTTGTGATGGACACATATGTTCTCGGGCGTACCCACATGAACCTTCCATACCCAGGAGATACCCACTCTTCCAAGTGCCCTCAGTGGCCATTCCTTAGCCATCCTTATCACAGGGCATGTTGTGCCCAACAGGAGCATGCTATCTACCAAGTACATTGAGTCCAAACAGGAAGTTGCCTTTTCTCACGGCCACCGGAACAAACAGTGCCTCTTTGTATTCAGCCTGGAGCTCTTTCTAACAGTGTTTATCTCCTCGGGAGCTGTCAAGCCCTTCAGATGAGACGAATGCAACTGTGTGACACATACTTAAAGCGCATCTCAATTGGTACTTTTGGAATCACTTTCAGCCATGATTATCATACGTCTTGACCTTATCATTTTGAACCCTGTACCAGGCAAGTAGCTTGCTATTCATTCTATTTGTGTCTTCTCTGGGAGTTATCTTGCACTCTCGAGTTATCACTCCTGGATCAAAGCCTCTGGAGAAAGCCTGCTGAGAAAGAGGCCCACTACTAAGTTGGTCAACTCCACCCAACCGAGGTGCACAACAGCAAAAGGAGCTCACTGGCTGCACAGAGGTATGGCACTGAGTGAGTCCATTCAAACACACAGTGGGAACTCAGCAGAGGCTTTGGGCTACAGGGGCTTCGTGAGAAACAGCTGGTATTTTATACATAAGACATTCCTCTATGTCACGGGAATTTATAGGTGAATGATTGGGCTTTATACCAAAAATGATGTTTGAACATAAGCTAAAACATTACATGTTATGAGTTAATGTGTATCCCCTCTCCTCTCCAAAAGAGTCAGGGTCAAATTGCCTTCTATCTCAGAATGTCATCTAATTTCGAGACAGCTCTTTTAAATGGAAATCAACTTAAAATGAGGTTTTTAGAGTGGGTGCTAACCCTGTACGATCAATATTCTTATACAAGGGGAAATTTTGGGCAGAGAAACAGCTTGTAGGAAGAATACCATGGGAAGACGAAGGTGGATGTGGGGGTTCACTTGCACATCAAGGGAGCCCAAAGGTTTCTAGGAAACTACCAGAAACAAGGAAAAGGAGGCATGAGATCGTTCTCCCTCACAGAATTTCAGAAGCAAGTTAGCCCTCCTGACATCTTGATCTAGGATTTTTTCCTTCTAAACTGTAATACTAGACATTTCCCATTGTATCAGCCAGCTGCTAGTTTGTGAGATTTTCTTAGGGAAACTCTAAGAAAGTAACTCCGTATCTTAGATGATTACAAACAGATACAATAAAAGAGACTCAGCAGGGCTGGAAACCAACTTTCTGAGTAGCTCTTGCAAACAAGAGTGCCTAGGTATATTCCCCAGGAACCAGAAGTACACAGGCTGCCATGTTTGGAAGAAACTGAGATGTTCGCATTTGCAGATACTCCATGCCCAAAGAAGTAATGCAGGTCAGAGCATCAAGCCACAGGAGCGCTTGAAACCTTAATTAAGAATATTAGAGGTAAGCTTGGAAATGTCTCCTGTCACTCCACGCTTTCCTTTCTGTTTGCAGGAACACCTGCAGGACTTCACATGTACTTTCTTGGTGTTGGTGTTTGCTGCCATGCCTTCTTTTCGAAGAGCCACTGACAACTCACTTCTGACTATTAATATCTGGTCTGTTTAGTTACCTGTGTTTGTCACTGCTTGGATTTGAAGTGTTTCCCCAGAAGGATCCTATGGGGAAGCCCGGTGCCAGCCTGGTGAATCCATTCACTGGGCAGTGATTAGACTGTGGCTGCTTTAATCTAGCCAATGGAAAAATACCTTAATGGCTTATGGTAGCATGGCATTGTTGGGAGGCGATATTGAGTAAAAGGCAGGTCCTGGTTGTAGGAAGCAGATCCTGAGTCCAGGATTTGAAAGGTGTGTTTTTCCTTAGCCTCTTCGTATTACTGCTTCCTAAATGCCATAAAGTGAACATCATTCTTCATAAGGCACTTCCTACAGGATGTTGCTCCTTGCCGTGGAAATAAAATTAATGGACTAAAAAAGACTGAAGCTATGAGCTAAGATAAATTTTTCTTCCTTTAACTCATTTTCTTAGTTACTTTTCTACTGTTGTGACAAGATACCATGACCAAGTCAACTTACAAAATGCTCATTGGGTCTTGTAGTTCTAAAGGGTTAGAGTCTATGATCATTATGGTGGTGACCATGGCAGCAGGAAGATAGGCATGGTGCTGGGGCAATAGCTGAGAATTTGCATGATGATCCACAGTTACGAGGCATCAGGGTGGGGGGGCATAGTGTGGGCTTTTGAAACCATAAAGCCTGTTCCTAGTGACATACCTCCTTCAGCAAGGCCACATCTCCTCAACAAAGCCACACCTCCCAATCCTTCCCAAACAGTTCCACCAACTAGGGAGCAAGCCTTCAGACATATGAGCCTATGGGAATC